GATGTCACATAGCGTCTACTTAATATAAGAACTGGCTGACTGATAGGTGTCTCCGCTGCGACTTATTAATTAGTTTGACCTTTTCAAACAAAACCAAGCTCTGTTTTGTTCCCCGCCTGCTATGTCATTGCAGTTTCCATGTATGTGACAAATTTCATCAGGTCAAAGCTCTTTACTGTACTGTAATTGATTTCTCGGTCATATTACCTGTTTTGAGTTTTCGATCAGATATGAACTTTTTGAATTTCCTGCCAACCTCACTGTTAGACAAGAAATCGCATTTGTTTCCAGCTGCAGTCGTTCTGTAGTGACAGTCCTTTCGTTTCATGATATGCGAAAGAATGTTTGAACGGCCTGTAGAAAATTTCTCTGCTCATTACGAACCTGTTTATGACGATTTTTGACTGTCTTACGAATCATAATTCTATTGCTTTGATGAAGATAGTTTTTGGAAGATTTTTTTCTCAGACGTACCGTTGAATGATTAGTCCAAGAACATGGTGTTACGTGACCGTTTTTCTAGGGTCTTGGTCATCCGTGCATATCGGAAACAGAACCACCGTCGGTTTCTCTGCTTCCTTGTCAATTTGTCGATATGCTGGTCTAAGCGAAGTTTCGTTGTTTGAAAAGGAATTTACCTTTTGTCCGTTTTATGAATGTTTTTGACGTTTTTATTGTTCAGCTTTCTGGAAAAGGCGAACTTTTATATTCTGTGTTACTGTTATCTGTTTTGTAAGAAGTTTAGCTGATTCATGAAAGTATTATGTAAGAAAGGACGGGGACATTGTCACTATATGGTCAGAGATCCACCGTCTAGCTTCGAGATTAAGAAGATATTGATTTCCTTGCATCATCTGGCGAAAAATAGGTTGACATGTACAGCATAAAGGTATTAATCATTCGACTCTCCGTCATAATAAACCCTTGCAATGGAACAAATGTTGCGCAGATGAATGACCCTTGATTTATCTTATGGCTCGAAATGATTTTGCTATTGCAGATTTCATTAACGCTAAAATAACGATCCTAATTTTACTTTGAAGATGTCGATTGAGGAGCAAAACATCGATTACTTTGTTTATGCTGTATTTAACATTTTAAAATTTGTTTTCTTTTGCTGACGTCTGTAAGGCCAGATACCTTAAGTTATTTTTTTCACTACAGCGCAAACGTGGAGGGAAGCGTCACAAAACAGCATTCTGATGAACGTTTATAAGACAAGTTGAAATACTTATCTTGTATTTCCCTGATAGCCATTGTGCATTGCGTTGCCAGTGTTTTTATTCGTATTTAATAAACGATGAAACCTGAATAGGTTGATGAGTAGAACTCACGAAGAGCCATGAATGGGAGCACGTATACTAAATGTATTTAGAATGGCAGTCAAAAATTATGTCCAATGCTTATAAACTTTAAAACAATGCATTTGCTTTTGCCAATTCACTCTATTCCTTCTAAGTAAAACGAGCATTCAACACCTGCTAACGTTAACATAATGTTCTTTGCTACCTCAAAACACGGTCTCCCTCTGTCAGTGCTAACGTTCATCAATGAAGTTATGTTCTGAGAATTGTCTGAACGTTTCGCTCTTATAGGTGATCCTTCTTCCTGGCATATCTTAGCCATTACTTCATTGATTTACTTAGCCACTGACTACACTAAAGCAATATTAATCGAAGTATGGCAAAAATGTATGCATGATGTTATTATGGTAGTTGCTGCTTTAATGCAGCAGCACTTGTATAAATCCAAAATCCACCAGCCTTTTCGTGTAATTGCGGTTTCTTTATCGATAAGATGTACGCTGGTATGTATAGGTTCTTGAAGAATAAAACAAGACTATTTTTGCATGAAATGCTAGTGTCAACGGACAGAGCTCTGCGCATTTAGTAACA